GTGGGGCTGCCTCTGCCCCACAGGCTGCAAGTGAAGCAAGTGTATCTGTGCTGAGAGCACAGTGCCAGGCACTGGCATCCCACGGGATCCCACGGGATCAGGTGGAGGGAGGACAGTGCCCAATCATGTACTAGAGGTGGCACCTGTCACCTGTGCCACCCCCGTGTCCCCACAGCGTCCCCATGACCCTGTGCTGCAGCCCCTTCCATCCAACAGGGATGCAGTGCACCTGCCCCAGCAGCGTGGGCTCACTTGGGGCAAAACCTGTCCCTCCCAGTGGCACCCACAAGCCGCCGATGTTGAAGTTTGGGGCTCAGGAGCAGATTCCTGGTGTCCAATCCAGGCAGTGCTGAAACCTGGACACAGAATTCCTCCCCCGCTGCTGTCTCAGTTAAATAACGCCTGCTGTACATGCTTACAGACATATATACACCTATTTATACAGATCCCCCAGCACGTCCGGGTCCCAGTTTTCCGCAGGGAAGCTCTGGAAGCAGCAAGTCGGTGGCACAAGGTCCCGGCTGGCGATGCCTCACGTCGTGGATGGGTGAGCGAAGCTCCTCTGGCTCGTGCTCCTGCAGCTGAGGACGAAGGAGGAGGAGTTGCTCTTCTTGCTCAGGTCACACGCCGGCTGCGACTTCAGGTAGCGCGTGGAGCAGCAGAGGAAGCGCCGCATCAGGTCGTGGAAGAGGTGGCCGGTGTAGAGCATGTAGATCCAGGGGTTGCAGCAGCTGTTGAGGCTGGCCAGGAGCATGGCGATGATGAACGGGGAGGCTGCAGGGCAGAGGCAGCGTCAGGGCACGGCACCGAGAGCCCCAGCCCTGCCGGCACCACGACACCCCTCCCCAGCCCGGGATGTGCCTCCCTCCCTGCAGGAACACCACGGCGGGAAGGGAGAGCTGATAAATCCGTAGGGGGAGGAAAGCCTCGGTTGAAGCATACTGGGTTTAGGTTTTTCACAAAAAAAGCTGCATTTCCTGTTCTGCTCCGGCGCTGCCGCCTGCCCAGCATTGCCCTGGAATGCCTGGCCGGGAGGCAGAGGTGCCCCCAGCAGCACCTGCACAATCTGCCTCTACAATGCCCAAAGCCAGAGAAAGGGAACGTGGCCCTTGCACTTGCCATGGCAAAGAGCAGGACCGGGAGCAGGAAGAGCCGGTGGCTCATTTCCCCCACCCACCCCCAGCAGCCAGTTTGGGGCAGACAAGCAGCTTCCACCCACTCAGGCCATGTGGCAGCCACGCTTGCCCAGCCCAGGGCACCCCCTGCTCCTGGGCTGTTCCTCCTGCCAAACCCTGACTGGCACAACAGTGCCCTGTCTGAGCCCTTTTGCCTGGACCTCCCACAGCATCTTTCTCCCGGCATCTTTCTTTCCCCAAAATTAATTTTTTCTCACACTGCACTCTGCCAAGAGAGGTGACAGCCATTCCCACACCAGGAACAAAGTCCAGGAGCCTGGCAATGGCTCCTGGCCACAGGGGTGGCATTTGAGACCAGAAGGATGGTGGCAGTGCAGTTCCAGGACATCAAATCTCTGGTTGCTGCTCTCTGTCCCCAGAGCACAAAGTACCGACTGTCCCACCTGAGAGGCTGGATCAGGACCTCCTGTGACAAGGGGACGGTGGGACTGGCACCTCCCATGGCAGCAGGACAAGGTGGGACAGCCCCTGAGTGAGGTGGCTGCAGGCAGGGATGGAGCCTTCATCCTGCTCCCCATCTTCCAGCCCATCTCTTCAGCTCCTCTGCTCCCAGGGAAGTGCCAGCAGTGAGGACACACATGATAGTTTGGCTGTTCCTGGTCCCTTCCTGTCTCTGCAAAAATCCACTGGCAGTTTTTAAACTAGTGAAGA